CTTGAAATTCTGGTGCAAGCAATTAGAAGAGCTATGGCGGCGGGCCACTCTATAGCGATAGATGGGTGTTTTTTTTTTTGATGATGATCATGTTACACGATATTCGGAATCTTTCGTGTGTGACATGATGAGGCCTGGGGTTCCGGGTCACGTGGATTTCACGATCATCCGATTTCACCATCATCCGCGACAATTTATAATGTATCAGAATTATCTTAAACACTAAAAAAAAATTTCTCAATTCGTTAACCACCCATCAACCCGTTACACATTATAGTCGTGTTGAATATTATATTATATAAACTTTATTATGATTGAAAAGAAAAACCCATTTTAAATCTAAAGGTAATTCACAAAATTCCAAATAATAAATGCTGACCTTAATTGGCTAGATCTTATATAAATAGATTTACAAGCTTGTAATTGTGCTCTTTATAAACTTATTTTTCATCCAAAGTAAGTGTATTTTATTTTAAATTATCTTTTTTCACCATCATTGTCTAAAATATACCAATTGAGAAACCAAAAGTTGTTAATCAGATTATCATCATGGTAATTATTACTATATATAAAACTAAATGAAATAATTTAATATTTCAGTGTATATTAGTGAATATTTGATATCCTGGTTGAGATGAATATAAATTTGCTACAAATTTAGTAAAAGATATTCCTCAATATATATCAGTAGGATCCCAACAGAATTTGGTTGTTTGTGATTTTCCGAGGGAATCCAAAGCTTCCATATCCTATTATATGTCAATTAATATGTTTTTCTTCAAAAAACAATAATAATAATTAACTATATATATATTATATATATATAACAAACCTCATTTGACAACTCAAAATTAAAAATATTTATGTTTTCTTTAATTCTTTCCGCTTTAACAGATTTAGGTATAACAATAAACCCATGTTGATATGCCCACCTCAACAAAATCTGTGCTTCGCTAACCTTATTTTTCTTTGCAATGTCTTTAATTAATGGTATTTCAATTTCTCCACTAACTAATTTACCTTCTCCTAAACTTGAATAAGCTTGAATTTGAATTTTATGTTCTCGACATAGATCAATTAATTCTTTTTGATAATATAATGGATGTAATTCAACTTGTAAAACTGCAGGAATAACAGTACAATAGGATAATAAATCTGTTAAATGACGATGAGTGTAATTGCTTACTCCAATAGCTCGAATTTTGCCAGAAGTATAAAGTTCTTCAAGAGCTTTATAACTAGCTTTACGATTTATGGCATGTTTTGGATCTGAAGGCTTTAATTTTTGAGTTCTTTAGCAAATAAATAAATAAATAAATATATGTAATTAATGAAATTTTCTTTCAAATATTTAGATATGTAGTCAACTCTGAATATAATAATAAATTTAGAAATAAGCTTATAAATAAGTTTAATATATTTTACTTTTAAAAAATTTAGAATTGTCAGTTAGTTATATACAGAGTCGACTGTAGATAAAGAAGGTATTTAATAAAAGATTTACCCAGGCCAATGAATTAAAAACAAATCAAGGTAATCCATGTTAAACCGTTGTAAAGATGATAGAAATGCTAAAATTAAAAACATATTTTAAATTAACACACTTTAATATACATTAATTTATATTACTATCATAAAAAAATACCTTGACGACAATTATCATATCCTTGATCCTTTGGAGCTAATTAAATAAATTGAACGAAATTAATTAGACAATGAATATAGACATATTAGAAACTATAAACTTATTCATTAAAAATATACATATACTAACGAAGTTTACTTGTAATAAACAAATCTTCTCGCTTCAAATTCAATGAAGTATCTTTGATTAATTCATTAACAACTTTTCCTATAGTCTCTTCATTCCTGTATCCAATTGCTGAGTCTTTTAAAAAATAAAACTTATAAATCACAATGAAAAAAAAAAATTATATGGGCTGCCGTCAATAGAAATCATGCAAGTTGACATTTTAAAAAAAAATTAATACCTTAATCTTCACAGCTCATATCTCGATGGATTTCGATTATTTAATAATCACTTTCTTTTGATTATTATTAAATAATTAAGATAGCTTCAAAATTAATCGATATATGAACTATGAAATTTAAGGTATTAAATTTTTTTGAAATGTCGATTTCTATTGACGGCAGACTATATGTTTTAAATTCATTGTTAAAAAAATATATATTTTTTAATACCGATTAGTCTATAACCAGACGTCACAGCATTTTTTATGACAAATTCCACTTTTTCAGGATCTATTATACGATATGTACCCACTATTGTATAAATTTTGGGTAGAAGTAAGAAAAAATTTTGATTTAATAAATTATTATCGAAAGATACAATGATTTTATTTTTAATGATAACCCTTACAGCCTAAGGCAGGAATTGTAATTCCGTTATTAAGAACAAATTTTGGAATTGAATTCATTTTTTTTTTTTTTTATTCAAAGATATTTAAGGAAAGGATGTAGATTCTATATCGATATCGAAAAACCTTAATGCGCACTATTATGAGCAAGCCGGAGCTAGGAATGATTTTTATTGGATGGCATTGAGAGTAGTACATGGATCGAGAATAATCAGCTGGAGGTCGCCTGCCGCAGCAAGCCGGTTGTTAAGATAACAGAATCAGGTGAATAAAAAATCTCACATATTTACTGTCGCGATTAAATGAAATTCTGAAATTGAGATCCACTTCTACGTCTGATTTCTATCATATTTACTATTCTGTTATTCTCCGGCAAATACACTCTTTAATACATCGTCTGCATTTTATACGCAGATTATGCCTTCTGCATTTTATATATCAGATATCTATATTATTATACGAAATTATTATTATTATACGAAATTATCTCTAATTCAACTTGTATAGATTTTCATGCAAGTCACATTAGTCACGTGCTGATAAAAAATTTTGACATCAGTAGATTTCGACATCAAAAAAAATTATCGCTTCAAGTATAGCGCGATATTTTAAATTATTAAAATGCACTGCTTAAATTTACGAACAAAAGTACAAATACTCCATCGAATTCTTGACACAGACCCTAAAACCATAAATACTATTATTACAAAAACCAAAAAGCCTTTTAAAAATTACTTTCAACCTTCATATACTTTTTCGCGAAATATTTTTGATATTTCGTTACCAAATAAGAATGAGTTTATACAAGCTTTACGCAAACAGACTATTGATATTGAACAGGCTGTTGCCATTAAAAGAAATAAAGAGAATAAACAGAAAGTAAGAAAAGATACTGAAGCTGCGAAAGTAAGGTTCGTTTTGATTTGTTTATAATCAATCACCATATATAATATAATATATATAATTTTTATTTATTTATTTAAATTATTTTAAATTACACTTCATTTATTAATCATTTATTAATATATTTTTTCGTAGGCATTTAATAAAATTAATGAGACAGAATTTTCCCGAATTGATCAATCACAAGCACTCGAATTTTACAAAAATATCAACAATTCATATTCTTTAAAACGTTTTTATCTAAATTTAATCTCTTATTTGTTACGTCAATGTGCAAATAATAATAGATTAGATTTAGTAAATATTATATTTACACAATTTATTAAAGATATTGAAAATAATCCAAACAAACATTTGTTAGGAACATTTATTATTAATGTTTGGAATACGTTTGCATCAATTTATTATGAAAGAGGATCATCTGAGGAAGTTGAAATTAGTAAGTTAATCATTATAAGTATTATTTATTATTATTAAATATTATTAAATTATATATATATATATAAACTAATCTATATACATACATATATATTAATAGTGTTCAAGTCAATGTCTAAATATACCGTTTCACCTAATGCGAAAACATTTTCGATATTGATCAAATCAATAGCAAAATCAAAAAATCCTAATCTTTGCTTTACGTTTATTGAAAAAAGCATTGTTAAAGGGTTTAAACTTAAATCTGGAACTTTAAATATATTACTTAATTCATGTCTCTCTTCAAACCAAAATTTTAATCAACAACAAAAAAGTATTGATATCATTCTTGATTTAATGTCTAATTGGAATGTAGGTCCTAATGGAAAAACTTTAGAAATTTTATTAAAACATTGTAGAGATTTAAATCATTTAGAAAAAATTTGGTCGAAGATTGTAAATCTTGGATTTCATTATGATCAAACTTTACATATAGAAATTATCAAAACCTGTTTAAGATTAGCAATACTCAAAGAATCAACTTCATCTACTATCAGATCAAGAAAAGAAGGATTATCAATATGCTTTGATTACTTGTTACGACTTAATCGTATTTCTCAGGGTGAACTTGCAACTGGTGCATATAACATTTTTTTGAAAGCATGTGCTTATCATAATGATCTTATCAAAGGAATTAGAGTTATAGAAATGATGTGGTCAAAAAATTTAGAACCTCAAATAATAGGTTATAACAATTTACTTAACTCAATTAGAATAATTACTTTTCAAAATATGTCATCATTGAGTTTAGCACAAAAATCGATGATCAACGATATATATCGAGAATATTTATGGATATTATTGGATGGAATGTTTTCAAGACCAAAAACTAGATTGATGCCAAAACGATTAATAAATTCAATAATTTTAGCAATTGGAAGAGTTGGTGATATAAGAGGGTTAATGGAATTTTATGATTCTAAAATAAATTTGGAAATTTCGAATAATAGGTTAAACGTGGTAGATCAAACTATTGGTAATATCTTTGCATTAAGAACAAATCATATACCATTAGATATTACATTTTTTAATTTATTTTTAAAAGAAATTCCTTCTACATCGAATCCATTAACTTCTTTAGAGATGTTTAATAGATTACCAAATTATCTTGAACCAAATAATGTTACTATTGAATATTTATTTTCTTCTATACAAACTTCTTTAGATTTTAAAAAATTTGGTACACAATTTTGTGATTCTTTAATTCGACAAAGAGCAAATATCACTCCAGAATTAATGGTAGATATATTTCAAAAAATGTATCAACGAATTGTTGGTCATAATAGAAAATCTATGGAGGAGGTTGATGTTAATGAATTTTATTGGGTTTACGTTTCTGGGTACATAGCCCGTGAAATCATAAATGTTTATAATGATCAGGACTTAATAGAATGTTTAAACATGTTGAAATAAAATCATTTTAATCATGAAAAAATCTTTGTTTAATCATATTTAAACATTTATAACATTTTTAAGGTGGTTAACATGTGTTAATACATATAATACGTATAGTTCGCTTATCAATTTAACTTCCTTATCTGTTATTAGTGATGAACATCTTTTGAATTTTATCTTTTTTATCTATTTAATCTAGCATTTAAACTAAACTTGGACCTATCGTCCAAATCCAACCAAAATAGACGATTTGGAATGCATAAATAATAAGTGGTATCACTTCTTTATTAGTTGGTAAACCGAAAAAATATTTTCATAATATGAAATACTATTCATTGTATAAATTCATGTGAAGGTTCGATTCGTATTGTAAAAGAGTTTTATGTGACTGTTTGTTGTGTTCGGGAAGCATTAAGTTCAACAATCTATTAAAAAAAATTTTTTAAAAAGAATTATAAATTATGATGAGTCAATTAATGCTTAAAAAATTTTTTAAAAAGATTCACCTCAAGTTTCTTCTTTTCAAATTTCTCTGTTAATTCCTTGACCTGACCTTCTACTCGTTTACTAAAAGAAAAAAAATAGAATTCAAATAAAAAAGCTTTGAAATTTTTGGTACTTACGATTTATAAGTGAATTGAATATGTCTTGGAATCGAGTAATTAATACTATATAGTAAAAACGTGATATCGAATGGATCTATAATATATTCTCTCGAACTAATCCGCTAATCCCAACACGTGTATTTATCTAAATCATGACAATGAATAAAAAAAAAAAAAAAAAATACAAACATTTCAGATCGAATGTGATCCAAACGTCTTGCAACATTCTCAGTAGCCTCGACTTTATCTTGTTTTACTAGCACAGGGCCAACGAGTTTATAAATATTTGAATCATCTTTTAATAAGCCAAATTCCTATTAAATTGGTTAAAAAATATCAAAAATGAAAAAAATTGAAAAAAGTTTGGATAAATTGAAGCCTAAAAAAGTTATAAGATAATGAGAACCTTTTGAACAATTTCGTTCTCTTGTAACTGAGAATCAAGTTTTTGTAGATTTTCTACAGCATTTGTAATTTCTAATCAAGTTCCAAAGGATTAATTGTTAAGTTAGATATTAATTGAAAGTAAAAAAGGGTTATATTAAATGGTAATATACCTTTTTGAAGTTTTTGATATTCTGTAGTAGCGGTTTCTAAGCGAGTTTCTAAAGACATTTTCACTCTTATTAATTATTAAAAGGATAATCTGATTAGGAAATCTCACTAAAAGTTTTTTATACTCACGTGTAGATGCATTATGTTAAGTGTACATGTGTAAATCTCATATAAAAGGGGTTGAAGACGTCCTAAACTAGTTTTTTAAATTTTCGAATTTCAGCATAATGGTAAGCCTGCTCGTTTGAGCACGAGGGTTTTTATTTATCTTTAGTTTAACTTAAGCGTTACCAATACTGTATATTTAGTCGAATACCGAAGTTGAAGACACTATTAAACGTCTTTCAGCAAACAAATATGTACAAGCTGTAATGATCGTTAACAAAGAGGGCCAAACAATTAAATCTACTTTAGACGAAAGTTTGTCCAAAAAGTACACAGATTTGATTACCAAACTTGTTGAACAAACTATTTTTGTTATTAAAGAGATGGATGAAACTGGAACTGTGAGTTATTAAATGACTCTCACTGAGAACTTGGGTAGTCAAAACATTATGTAATCTTTTTATAAATTTTATATTTTTAGAATGATCTTTCATTCTTACGAGTTCGAACTAAAAAACATGAAATATTGGTTGCTCCCGGTAACAAAAGATTTTATTTCCTGTATTATACCCATTAAATTACACTTATAAAATATCTAACTTTTTATGTTTCTTTTAAATTATATAAGATGCCGAATATCTTCTCATCGTTATACAAGATCCAGAAAAATCTTGATTAGACTTTTTTTTATAGTATTTTTTATTTTATATTTATTTATTTCGGTGCAAGCTAGACTTCCAGATTTTTTCAATATTCTAATGGTTTTAATAGAAGAATGAAGAATCCCGCTGGAATGATATAATGTTAATTCACATTCAAAATAACTTGATAATGAAGTCATGTGTATATTATTATCTAAGTTTGAATGTTACTTTTTTAGATTCATTTTGATCTTGAGATGACTAATTTATAAAGTTGGAATTACAAGTTTTAAATTACAAATATTTTTTATTGTAGAAGAGCGATGTTCAAAATCTCGAATATTCAAGGTCTCGATAGTCGAGATTCTGATAGTCAGGATCCTAAAATTCACGGTTCCAACAATTTTATATTAATCCCACAATACTATATTAAAAAATACATTATCTAATCAGAAATATATGCCAATGTTATTTTTTTGAGTAGTTCAATTTGATTGTCTGTGAAACCGTTGTTATAATTAGAAAAGCTTTCGCATGATAAAGCAGAATGCTAGTATAGTGAGACCTTCTTAAATGCACCCCCCTCGGGACTATAGTAAAAAATTTCAAAATTAAGCACTTAGAGAGGGTGTGTATTTATGGAGAGCAAAATATATAGTTTATTATAAGCTGGAACCAGATTACAATGTGCATTTAAAGAGATTTTACATAGAGGGTATACTATAATATGTTATACTGAACAATACTCTAGATACCTGGATTAAAGCATTGTTTGTATATAATGAATCTCTATTATAAAAAAATAATTTTCAAGAATCAGATGATTTATACAAAATTATATTGAATATTAGTATTATTATAATAGTTAGCATGTTGTATGTTTGCTTATTTATTTAATGTCGGGGATGATGCTGAAATTGGCTGAAATTTAGGGTTCCCATTTAAATCTATAATACCTACTAAAATTCATATATACTTTTTTACTAACAACATTAACCATAAACCCCAACCTAACCTAACCCTAAAAAAAAAACACCTAATGAAAATGGTCTGAAAAGTTTTTAAAATTTCATAATAAAATAAATCAAAATTTCAGCATCATCCAATTTCAGCATTATCCCTGACATTTAATGTTAAATTACAATTTCTTGTTATTTTGAACAAATTAAAGTATATATTAAAAATAATAAAATAGTTAAGATAGTTTATAGCAATATGGAATATACTTCAATTTGATCTGATCATGTTATAATTAATAATGAAATATGAATTTAATAATTATTTTTATAATTACATCAATCTTTATAGATTTCTTTATAGATTTTTTTCAATATGCAAAACTATTCAATATTAATTATTTTACTTCTAATTAATATAATATTTTTTTTTTTTTTTTTTTTTTTTTTTTCTTAATATTGAGGTGACCACTTGGGCCCCTGGCACTTTATTAGTTTACAAGAGTGGGCCGTGCGAAGAACG